TCAAGCCTTGTCAGTTTTTGAGTAATGTTTTGAAGGAAAAGGAGTAGAGTCTTAGGTAGCATTCTGTTATGTCTTTTTTGTTTCCTTCACTCTAAAACATTTCAGTATTCCCTTGGCTTTTATGTTATTGTTTTTAAAAAAATATTTTATTTATTTATTTTGAGAGGTAGCATTACAGACAGAGATAGGGAGGACAGAGAGAGGTCTTCCATCGGCAAATTCATTCCCCAAATGGCTGCATCAGCTGGAGCTGGGCAGATCTGAAGCCAGGAGCCAGGAGCTTCTCCCAGGTCTCTCATGTGGGTGCAAGGGTTCAAGCACTTGGGCCATCTTCTACTGCTTTCCCAGGCCATAGCAGAGAGCTGGATCACAAGAGGAGCAGCTGGGACTTGAACCAGCGCCCATATGCTATACTGGAGCCACAGGCGGAGGCTTTAGCCCACTACGCCACAGCACCAGCCCCTATAATGTAATTGAATAGTTCTTTTTCTCCAGTGTAGGTTTGTCTGATGCTTCTTCATGATCACATTTCAGTTATAGGTCTTTGGCCAGAGTACAGCAATAGGGAAGATGGGTTCTTGATTCTAGTGAGGTTTGCATGTTTATAACTTATCTCATTATTGGTAATGGCAACTCTGATTTCTCGATTATTGGATGTCTTCTAAGCTTCATAACTAAAAATGTACTTTTTGCCCCTTTGCAATAATGTGTACACGTAATATTCATATATTCATACCATATAATATACATATAAAATTTTCATCTATGAGACTAAATGAATATCCTATTTCTCATCAAAATTGTCAATTATTCATTTATTTAAAAGATGTATGTGTTTATTTGAAAGAGGGGTAGTTATGTAAGATAGATAGCCACCGGAATCTTCTGTCTGCTGTTTCACTCCCCAAATGGTTGCAACAGCCAGATCTGAGCTGGGCCAGGTTGAAGTCAGGAGCCAGGAATTCAATCTGAATTTTTCACGTGGGTGGCAAGAACTCAAGCACCTGAGTCATCATCTGCTGCTTCTGAGGTGCCTTAGCAGGGAGCTGGATCCCAAGCAGAGTATCCAGAACTCAAACCAGCACTCTGCTTTGGATGCAGGCATTCTAGGTGGTGTCTTAGCTACTGTTCCAGATACTTGTTTCCCACCATCCCCTCTCTGTGTCCTCTTGACATGTCCTCATCATTCTTGGCGCACTCAAGGTGTTCTTGTACATTTGTGCCTGAGCTCTTGTTCTTTGTACAGGAGGAGGTCTTTGGAAACTAAGATCTGGATATCCCAAGTGCTCATTGCTGCTTCGATGTCTTTTCAGTGAGCAGGGATAGAGGTATTTGTATATATACATAACAGCTCTTTATACCTGTGTTTATTTCTGTATCTACATATATTAAAAATCATGAATTCAGACCAATTTCCAGTTTTAGTCCTACATACAGGATTATGTTCCAAACAAGGGAACATGTCATCCTTTTATGGTTAATTTTTTATTTTAATTACTTGATAGGCAGAAAGAGTGGGAGAGACACAGGGAGAAAGAGAGCAATGCTCCCATCTGCTGGGTTACTCCCCAAACTTCCACAGTGTCTGGGATGTCGCCAGGTTGAAGCTGGGAACTGGGAACTCAATCCAGGACTCCCATGTGGGTGGTAGGAACCCAACTACTTGAGCCTTCCACAGTCTGCATTAGCAGAAAGCTGCAGTCTGGGAGCTGGAGCCTGGTATCAAACCCAGATATTCCAGTACAGGACACGAGTGTCTTAACTGGCACCCTGACTGCAATGCCAAACATGCACCCACAATAAATTTTAAGTATGCAACAGTTGCCTTTGTCTGTCTCCAAAATTAACTCATCTAGAACTTAACTACTTTTATCATTCCAGTTAACATGTTCTACATAGATAGGAAAATGAATTATTCCCCTTCCTGTATTCCTTAATTTGCATCTGGATGATTTCCAGGTACCCAGACTGGAAGTTACCCATTTTCCTTTCCTGCCCACTTCCAGTCATTTCCTTTTCTGTGGCTTCTCACAGGTTAATGGCCCAGCCATGGACCTCTACCTTGCATTCCACCACTCCTTGGTTCAAGCCTTCATTACTTTTTATGTGGGTTTTTGTAATTCATCTCGATATAGAATTCAATAAACATTAGGAGAGGGTCTTCTGTGATTTTGTCTTTGTTCTGTCTCCTGCACCTCTTTCATAAAGGCAGCTAAATAAATGCCTCTAGAAGCAAGATTCAAAAATGATAGAGAAGAGACTGTGGTGAATTCAGTGTCTGACCTAAATGCACACTAAGGGGGTTGTTGTCACATCACACTGGGGACACTTGTTGCTGAATCTTCTAGTCTTCTCTGCAGAGAAGCTGAAAGTCCATATTTTTATGTGAAATCTTAAAATTTTCTCACTTCTTTTTCATATACTTCCTTGACAGAAGGAGCTTGACATTGCATTTTAACATGTGAAAGACTGTGAAGTCCTACAGTAAACAAATCTGTTCAAGAATCTGGACTCCTTAGCCTTACCTAAGAGATTTCTTATCCAACCCCAGGCTGCCATTCACTGGTGTCAGAAAGAAGGCTCTAGATGCTTTCTCATTTCTGGTGTTTACTGGGCTATTCCCTTAGGCTAGGTTGCTGCTCACTCAAGTCCTCTGTTCTTGACATCCAGTTTACATTTCCATGGTAATATGCTATGCCTGGGTCATAAAGTTTTATCGTTATGATAAGATATACTCTGTCTTGTTTATAACTGTTTATGGATTGGATCTATTTTCATTATATTGGGCCCTCATTGAGGATAAGAACCTATACTCCTACTGTATCATGCACCTAGCACAGTAGTGATATATATATATATATATATAGTTTTTTTTTTTTTTTTTTTGACAGGCAGAGTGGACAGTGAGAGAGAGAGAGACTGAAAGAAAGGTCTTCCTTTGCTGTTGGTTCACCCTCCAATGGCCGCCGCAGCCAGCGCACCGCGCTGATCTGATGGCAGGAGCCAGGTGCTTCTCCTGGTCTCCCATGGGGTGCAGGGCCCAAGCACTTGGGCCATCCTCCACTGCACTCCTGGGCCACAGCAGAGAGCTTGCCTGGAAGAGGGGCGACCGGGACAGAATCCGGTGCCCCGACCGGGACTAGAACGTGGTGTGCCGGTGCCACAAGGCGGAGGATCAGCCTATTGAGCCACGGCGCCAGCCTATAGTGTATTCTTAAAAGAAAGTGATTGAAATAGAGTAAATGAAGGTGGGTTGGAACTAAGCTGGGGGTTAGGGAGAAACAGTAGTGTCCTAATGGATCTTCATCTCTAGTCACCTTTAATTCATTCTCTATGTTTCTTAGTGCCTACTTCAGGAAGCACATCTTTGTATTACTCATTTTTCAAGCAATTTCTGGATTTCCATTCCCTGAAGAATAAAGTCCATACTTTGTACCATGATATTCAAGATCCCCCATGATTCAGCCCCGCTTTTCCGTGGTAGTTCATCTCCTACTGGTCCTTGTTTTGCTCCTTTGCAGCCAAATCTGATCACTGACTTACGATCTGACCGTTTCGTGGCTTTGCTCAGCTTTTCACTCTTGAAACTATTTCCCCGCCTTAGCCTATTGTAGTACTTCCAGGCTCAGCTCAGAGCTGCCTCTTTGTACAGCCATCCCTTAACTCGTTTGTAAAAAAAAAAAAACTTAATTATTTATTTTTAAAAATTTGCTGAAAAGCAGAGTGACAGAGAGGGAGAAACAGAATCTTCCATTTGCTGGTCTACTCTGCAAATAGCTGTAACAACCATGTGGGCCAGGCCAAAGCCGTGAGCCAAGAACTCCATCGTAGTGTCCCATGTGGGTGATAAGTACTTGGGCCACCACCCCCTGCTCTCTTCCCAGGCACATTTGCAGGAAGCTGGATCTGATTAAGAATAGCTGGGACTCAAACCAGCACTCGTGGTATGAGATGCCAGCATCACAAGCCACAGTAACTCAGGGAGAGAACATTCGTATCTACTGGTTCACTTCCCAGATGCCTGCAACAGCCTGGGGACTGAAGCTGGGAGTTGAATCCAGATGTTCCACATTAAGGGCAGGAACCCAACTACTTGGTTCATCATGGCTACTTCCTAGGGTCTGTGTTAGCAGGAAGCTGGAGTCAGGAACTAGAGGCAAGGGTCTAATTCAAATACATAGAGTGTAGCGTGAGTGGAGGATTTTTACTGCACCACCATGTTAACCAAAAATGGCTGTTTTAAAACTTTCTTGGCTTGTCTTTATAAAAATATTTATGTAATAGTCATATATTGTTTTTGTGGTAGAGAAAAATTGCTTATAATTTAAAATGATAAATTTAATTTGAATCTTTGTTTTGTTAGTTAAATGAAGCTCTTCAGCAAGATATAACAAATAGTAGAATTTGCTGAAATGCTACATAGATTGGGCATTTTCCCCATTTTTTGTTGTTTTTGTTTATTTTTACTTATTTGAAAGGCAGAGAGAGAGAGAGAGAGAGAGAGAGAGAGAGAGAAACTCTTCCATCCTCTGGTTTGCTTGCCAGATGCCTGCAATAGCCAGTGCTGTTGACCCCCCGGCACTTTGATGTGGGAAGTGGATGTCCCAACTGACATTTTAACTGCTATGCCAAAAGTCTGCTCTTAAATTTGGTGTTAAGTAGACATTCACATTTTGCTGAATGCTAAAAATGCTCACAAGTAATGATAAGACTTATAGTAAGATCATTATATGGACAAAATGGATTTAGGACAGATTGTAATAGCATTAAGTGACACAAGCTCATAATATCTACAATCATCATGTGGAATTAATGTGATTTTTTTTTCCTGTGGAATCATTAGTGGGATAGTTGGAGGAAGCTCATTGTAAATATTAGTATCTGTAAATGTAGTGTTTTATATAAATGTGAAGTATTGTTATTTCTTTAGCTTTTAACTCTCATTTGAAAATAAAATGAAACCTACACAATTTTAAATATTTCCTTTCTTCTTTTTTTAGGAATCAAGGAAGGACTGAGGTAAGATTATATATAAATCTAACTTTTAATTGAAACATGAGCTTGTTTTACTTTTCATTAGTATTAGAAAGGAAAACTGTTGTTTGCCTTCTGGAAAACCCCACATCAAATGAGTGGCAGACAGGAACATATAAAGATATAGATGCCACCATTGTGTGTATGAGTGAGCTCTTTGTAATTGTTCATTCTCAGCACTTTCCTCCTTTGACCTAAATATCCCCTTTGCCAGTGAAGCAGTATTATTTAAGTACTACTTTCAGCGTTCCCTTTACTGTGGCAGAGGCATTAAATTTGGATTTTTGAGAGCTTTAGATTTTGATATGTTAAGTCCAGTTCATAATTTACAGAATGTAATCACAATATTAAACCCATTGGGTATTTAATAAATATTTTATGATCTTTATATATAAGCAGTAATTTTATGCTTATAAATAATTTTCATGTAAAATTTAATATTCCTTTGGGTAGATCTGGTGAATGGTAAAAATAATTTTGAAACAACACTTACGTATTTTAGTCTAAACATGATTACTATATTTTCTTGTAAATATTTAGTTGTATTTGTTAAAATGTTAAAAATAAAATAAATACCATGCATGCATACAATAGTCATTAAAGCTTTAAAAAGAACTCAATTCTCCATTTATGGGAGCATTTAATTTTTCGGAATGAATAGCTCACTTTTTCCTTCTTTCAAGTACACTTTTTAAATACTCTTAAAATACACATTCAGCAAACATTGTCTTCTTTCCATGTGCCAGACATGTTGCTAGCTCTTAAAGAATATAAAGGTAGTAACACATGATCCCTTGACCTGAGAGACCAAAGGAAAAAATAATTTTATTTCTGTTTTTGGAAGATTTTTTTAGCCACAGACAAGAGAAAAGAAGCTGTATTTCTTTGTAGTGGTAGATAAGCCCCATATTATTCTGAGAAATGGGAATAGATGCTCCTTTGGACTAAGTGATTTCAAAAAAAATCAAAAATATTTAATAAAATGCTGGAAAATACTTACATTTTTAAAAGCATTTGATATATAATCAAACTTTTTGTACATGTACTTTTAGTTTATCTGTTTTATTAATAAGCTGTGGTTACTATGTCTCTCAGGTGTCCTTTACGTTGAATGAAGATCTTGCAAATATTCATGATATTGGTGGGAAACCAGCCTCAGTCAGTGCTCCTCGAGAACATCCGTTTGTCCTGCAAAGTGTCGGAGGACAGACATTAACAGTATTTACCGAGAGCTCGTCGGGTAAGTCAGAATGGAATCATTTAATATGATCCCTGTATATTTTGTATAGGTTTTCTGTCTCAATATTCACCTCTTTTTGCATTTTTACGGTCATTCCAAGGCTGATTCACCTGTTCTGTTTTGCGTATCATGCTGCTTTTCTGTTCCTTGTGTTTTCTTACGACTAATGGAACTTGGACCATTTCTTGAGAAGGGTTGAATTTCCATTTGGGTTATGAACATATCGAACAAGGTAGATGGAATAGTGTAGTTCATCAAGCTGCTTTCTAAGATGTGGAAGAAACAGTTATGTGAGATTTCTCATGATTGTTCCTTGCTTATTTTTGTAAATTGATACTTAGTAAAAGTTGTACTTAGAAAGTACTGCTTGATGTTAGAGAATATTTTAGTCTAAATTTTGCTCTTATACTTAGGGCCATTTTATTGCATAAATACGTGCTTTTAATTAATATCACTTTCCAAGTCATTCTTTGTATATTTTTTAAACCACGTGTGTTTGTAATGCCATATTTTAGTAGTTTAATAAATCAGGAGTGCTTGTTTCAGTTTGTAAATTAAATGGAACTTTTTTGTACGTGTGTTCAGCATACATATATGTTTATTTCAGTTGTTTCTTAACTTATAAAATTTACTTAATTTAGAATATTTTTTCAACATTTATTCATTTATTTGAAAGGCAGAGTTACAGAGAGAGAGAGAGATCATCTACCCACTGGTTCACTCCTTAGACAGTCGCAATAGCTAGGCACTAAGGCCAGGCTGGTGGTTGGCAGGGGCCCAAGCACTCTGCTGCCTTCCTGGAGCTGGATCAGAAGTGGAGCAGCTGAACTCTAACCACCTGTGCTCATATGGGGTGCCAGCCTTACAGGTAGTGGCTTAACCCACTGCAGAATATTACAATTAAAGTAGCAATCCATCTCAGATTTGTGTAACTAATTTTATTTTTTCTTTTTCTTTTCTTTTCTTTTTTTTTTTTTTTTTTTGACAGGCAGAGTGGACAGTGAGAGAGAGAGACAGAGAGAAAGGTCTTCCTTTGCCGTTGGTTCACCCTCCAATGGCCGCCGCGGCCGGCGCGCTGCGGCCGGGGCACCGTGCTGATCCGATGGCAGGAGTCAGGTACTTATCCTGGTCTCCCGTGGGGTGCAGGGCCCAAGCACTTGGGCCATCCTCCACTGCACTCCCTGGCCACAGCAGAGAGCTGGCCTGGAAGAGGGGCAACCGGGACAGAATCTGGCGCCCCGACCGGGACTAGAACCTGGTGTGCCGGCGCCGCAAGGCGGAGGATTAGCCTAGTGAGCCATGGCGCCGGCTAACTAATTTTCTTACATCTAGGTTTTTGGAAAAGTCATTGGGGGCAGGCATTTACCCTAGCAGTGAAGACACTTGGATCCCACTTGTGGCTTACCAGGGCTTTAGTTCCTGCCTCTAGCTTCTGACTCCAACTTCCTGCTAATGCAGACCCTGGGAAACAATGGTGATTGGTCTAGTAACTGGGTCTCTGCCACCCATGTGGGAGACCTGGATTGAGTTCTCAGCTTCCAGCTTCAGCGTGGTAAAGCTCTGGCTTTTATGGGCATTTGGGGAGTGAACTAGTGGATGGAGGAGCACTCTCTCCCCCTTACTTTCTCCCTCTCAAATAAATAAATAAAATTTAAAAGTCTTTTGTTATAGGAAAGAAAAAGTTCTGATTTTGTTGTATTGCAAAGAAGATACAACAAGATCTCAAAGATTTTGTTACATCTCAAAAGTTCTGATTTTGTTGTATTTCAGAGAAAGCTGTAAGACATTATGGAATGTTAAGAACATAAGTGTTTTAAGAAAAGGAGTATACTCAGATTACAATTTTTGTGTGTCTTGGATTATCAAGCTGTGTAAGCTGATCTAAACATTTAGTCTTTTTTTTTTTTTGCTTGATGTAACTAGTAGCTTTTTGGTCATGTGGTTTAGAACAAAGGATTGATTTCACTGGGTTATTTTGATGCTATAATAATGTGTAGTATAGCTTGAGTATTATGATAGGTAGAATTTTGAAAATAACTGTTTTTAAGACATGGATTTGATGCTGGCAATCCAATCATTCAACAGATAGTTCCTGTGTGCTAATTGAGTGCATAGTATAAACACATCTAGGGAATTGAAATTTGTTATCTGATGGATGGGATTTAATGAGAACCCTGTGAAACTGAGGTTTTTTTCTGGTTTGGTTACTGTCTCTGGAATGGAAGAGTCATAGCATCCAGATGGAATAAAGGAGGCAGAGATTTGTTAAAATTTGAAGTAAGGAAACTGAAATTTCCTTTATAGGAAAAGTACTGTTTTCAGTTTTTAGCATCTTATTAGAGACTGATTTTTGCAAAGCATGATTTATTGCTGATATTAATACAAAATACAGTGGGTTGGAAGCTATTTGTTATTCTAAAACTTTTCATTTCATGTTTTAAATTCTTTATTGTTTTGCTCTTTTTGAGCATTTTGTGTTCAGATTTCTGGTATGGTGTACTCCAAAGTGGAGAATATAGTTTTATAAGGATTATCTGACAGGGCTATGGAAAAAGATGAAGACTGTCATCTTTATTTTGGAGTTTGGACAGTATGTTCTTGCTTTGTAGAACTGTAGAATTTTTTGTAGAATGGAAACTTGCTTTGCAGGATGGGATTTTTTGCGTCTTAACCTCATTAATTATTTCTGTCTCATGTCTTTGTTCCTTGACTCTTTGCACTTTTCTGTTTTGATTTCCTTATTTGTGAAAGGAGAATAATTTTTATTTGCACTTAAATATAAATATGGATATATTTAGAACACCTAGACGTTGCTGGATACATAGTGAAATGCTAATTAAATACTAGCTATTATAATTATTATTACCTCATTTTAAAACACTTTTGATTTCTAGCTTAAGGCATTGGCATGCTTTAAAATTAGTGTATATCATTTCTTAAACCTCAACCAATAGAGTTTTTTATATTCTGTGTTTTTTGATTGTCTGAATGAGGAGAAAGCTCTGGAGTTCTTAACAGTTTATCTCCTTCTCTGAGGGGTCTTATTTACATATTTGCTGTTTCTAGTCAGTAAAGAGGCAGTCTGCAAATGGGTTACTTGGATGTGTAGGAAGTCGAAGATTGCAGGGACTCTGTGGCTGCCAAGACATGTCTAAAACGCTCTATCCATGTGTTTTGCTAGAGGACGCCCATAGCTTTCAGTGGCATCTCACAGGGGTCCTCTAGTGTTACTACCTTGGTTGTCATGAACCTGCCAAAGTGTAGGTGACTAGTTATTTTACACTGAGTAAGCTGTATTACATTGCAATACAGCTGAGTGTGTATTTTGAATATATTAACATTTTCCCTCAAACAGAACAGTACCTTATTATAAAAAATTGCATTTTTAGGCTCCTCATTTCCTGTTAATAGTGTTCAGGTATATCAGATGTTGGATATTTTTATAAGAAAAAACAGTTAAATATGTTAAGCATTTTTGGTTTTAATAATTTTATGCCTTCTGTTAATTTAATTGTATAGGATTTTGAGAGGCCTCCGAGAGCCTTTTTGTCTGATGATTCAATTACACATATTTCGGTATGTTTTTGGAGATAGAGGAGATTGGTGCTGTATTTTACAGTGCTTTCCCCTTGGTTAAAATTAACATTTTATGAAACCTATTAATTAGTTTTTAGTTGAATATTCCTGTCTGAGAGAATGTGTTTATTTTTGAGAGTTGGGTGCTTTTCCACCTCTGCATATTTCTGAAATTCTAAATGATCTATTTCTTTATTAAATATTTCATGGAGGGACTCTGTTATCTAATACCGCATCTCTGTGGAAATGCCTGTTGTTTTGCCTTTATTCCCACGATTCCTTGGAGTTCAGTGTAGTTTTTTTTATCTACTACTTAGTTTATCTACTATATAGTTTCTAGTTTTTTCAGTCTCTGGCATCCCAACTTTTATTGAAACTTAGATATTTATTTTGAACTGCAAGTTCTAAATAAAAGTTTTTATGCATTCAACAGTTATTTTTTTAAAAAGATTTATTTTATTTATCTGAAAGATGGAGTTAAAGAGAGAGTAGAGACAGAGACAGAGACAGAGAGAGGTCTTCATCCGCTGGCTCACTCCCCAAATGGCCCCAGTGACTGAAGCTGGGTCAATCCAAAGCCAGGAGCCAGGAGCTTCTTCCAAGTCTCCCATGCAGGTGCAGGGCCCCAAGGACTTGGGCCATCTTCCACTGCTTTCCCAAGCCATAGCAGAGAGCTGGATCAGAAATGGAGCAGCCAGGACTCAAACCAGCACCCATATGGGATGCCGGCACTGCAGATGGCAGCCTTACCTGCCACAGTGCCAACCCAACAGTTATTTTTGATGCAAGGCTCTGTGCTAGAATTAGAGGAGACTTTTGTCCAGTGGGGCAACTGGATGTGAAACAAACAATGCTATGATAACTGCTCTAATTGAGTTGTATATAGAGAGGAAAAAATGAGTGTCTGTTTTGCCTAAAGAAACCGGGAAAGGCTTCAAAAGTGGAGATGATACTTGAGCTCTTACTTGAAGTATATGAATAAGTATGCATGAATAAGCGGAAAGAAAGCAAAAGTAAAATTAATTTACTAGCCTGTAAGTATCCTGTTCTTCTTCACTCTGCTTTCTACTGCCTGTCATTCTCTGCCCTATCTATCTAAAAACCATTAAATTAGATTCATAGCAGCAAAGCTCAGTTGTGGACTTTGTCATCTGGTTTAGGGATGAAGAAGTTTGAAATGGTGCAGTGGGAATGCAAAAGAAGCATCCTGTCCCTAGAAATAAAAGGGCTTTTTGGTGATGAGTTGGCTTTGGGGGAATTGGAAGAATGAGAAGTCTAGAATGGTTTCCAGGCTTTTTGGATTTGAGTATCTGGGTGGATGGTGAGAACATATGGAGTTAGGAAATACTGGAAGAAATGGATTAGATCTGAAATGAAAAGTGGCTTTTTGCTCGTAGTTTTTATTATCTTTATTTTTTTTCAAC